ACCAGATTAAATGTCAGTATATTGCTAAAGTCAGTTTGCATTTATCCTCCCAGCACAATGAACGTCTGGAAAAAAATGAATGGAAATCTATCCAGTAGTGGTAGTGAGATACTACAGTCTATCAAAATGGTGGACCGACAAACTACGTAGCTGACTGATGGACCAGACCAGCGTTGCCATCTTTACAGCTTTTAATGTATTTCTTTGAAGAAAAACATTATCACTATGATATAAATAAATTAAGCCCACTTCATTATGTAGGTGTGTTAAGGCATCTGTGTAAAACCAACCAAGATGGATTTTATTAGCAATATCTGAGCTTCCAGCAGAAAACAGGTGATGAGCTCACAGTAAGTGATGATGGATGTTATGAGAATAGTTTGCATTGCAGAGACACCATCATCACACACATCCTGTCAACATGGCTGACAGCTGAGAGAAGTGTGAGTCGTTGGGAGAAAGAGATAGACACACAGAACCGGAGAGAAAGTAGGCGTAACAGAACAGGGTCCAGCTGTTAACAGCATGAAACGATTCACTACATTTTTTATCTCGCTGATGTCCGTTAGTGTGAAAACCCAAACATTAGTCAAGGCTGATCACCTGTTAGATGCAACCGAGGCATGTGGTGACAAGGGATCGCTTCGACCTGCAGTCTTTCTTCACTCATCTATTGATCCTCCCATTTCAAACACACTGACAGATTAATTAAAACACACAAGATAAAGTTTCAACAGAGCGGGGCCTTATTAAAGCACAGCTGCCACTGTTCGAGAAAAAGCATTGAGGGAAGACATCAAGCATACAATAAATTACATATTTTCCCCACATTTTCAAGCGTAATAAAAACTGGAGTGTGTGTTTAGGCTGCAGGAGAGTGCGCAAGCTCCAAGCAGAAGCTGTGGTTTCGTTCTGGCTCTGGTTTCAGTGCGACACCAGCAGGAGACTGGAACGGTGTTACAGGAAGCTCAAGCAGAACAGCTTCCTGTTTTCAATTGATCGCAATGTCTCTAGCTCTACTAGTTTATCAAATGGGATTAGTCTCAGTGTGCAGGCATGTGTGTATGTTATAAATATGATTACACTTTTTTATAGAACTATATAGACTTCAGGCACATGTTTTAAAACTTTGGACTTCACACCAAAAGGGGCTGATTGCTTTGACAGGCAGACCCGCTGTGTTTATTTGGGTTTTGAGGGAAGTACAGGCAGACTAACTCCACCTGTCAAAAGAAACCAGTCTCCTTTCCGATGTTTTTGCTCTACTTGAGTCACCTTAACACCACCCTCACATGTTCTTGTGTGTAGACTGTCGGTCCAAATATGTAGTTCATAGAGAGATATAGTATCACCACATTTGATTGGTGAGATTAAATCCCTACCATCAGCTTTACATTTCCCTTGACCAGATGTTTGGTGCAAAATGAGCTGTGGAGATTCATTGTATATATATATATATATGGGCGTCTCTAATTGTAATGGGAAGATTATAATTTTATTCAGTGAGCACATTGATGCTCCCTTAAGGATTCGTAATTTCCATTTCCCTACTCCTCAAACCACTTTTGCAAGTCTCAAGTCAGAATGTCAGATTTGCTTGCAAGCTTTTTTTATAATGTATTCTGGGGCGCATTCATGTTCCTTTGGGGACAGTCTCTCTGAGTTTATGGCTCCTTTCTGCTATTGCCACCTTCACAATTGTATAGTGCAAGCAAAGATGTACACATAGAATAATTATGAGTGTGTCTCTCATATACTGTCCACCATCTTGGACTGTGTGGGGCATGAAAATAATAATAACAAAACATGTATAACACTCAGTTATTTGTTATGTTTTCTGATTTTTTATTTTTAAAGTGTGGTGTCAAAATGTATTCTACTAGAGACAGTGCACTACCACGACTCTTAGACGGTAATGCTAGAAAGCTATTCTCTACATTTTTGGACATCTCCCATTTGAGAACATCTGTACATCTGTTCAGATGATTGAGTGTCGTATAACAGGCTTGACCAAGAAACCACATGCTGACATCACAGGGGAGATGCATCACCTGCTGAAAGATAGTTCTTGGCTTCAATAGTGTACACAAGTACACATACGTATATGACATACAGGCATGCACATGTTCGTACATAACACACACACAGTCATCTTTTGCTTCCGTTTTGCTGTCTTGTTCTCAGCTATCTTTAAAATGTCATTCTCTATTTTGTTTGCATTGTTTTATTTAATTTGTGCTATTATTCCACTTGTATTTTGATTTAATGTGTCTTCTAGCAGGCAGCTCATCAATGTGTCTGTTGTCTGTTGGTTCTACATTTGTGGCTGGGCAAGAGCATGCATGTCACTTCTTGTGAGATCAACAGTGGCTTCCCAGCGGTCAGGTCATGCTGGAAGTGAGCATGTCCTTGGATTTGACAAAAACGGCAAGGTACAACCCACACAGGAAGGAAATACGCTTAGTCTCTGAAAAACTCAATCAGTCCATACACAGATCAGATTATTTCAGCTATGTTTGCATTCAAATAAGAGTTTTTAAACAATCAAAATGCTTCATTCTAAAATATGCTTGTCACTTATCATCATCAGCCGCAATTCGCGCTGTTCTCATGACCCTTACCTTCTCAGGATATGAACCCCAATAAGATGAATGTGCATGCCGGCACACACACAAACACACACACACAAACACACACACACATATATAAACTGAGTGAAGCAGCCTAACATCTCCTGCCTGGGAAATACTTTAAGGAAGTGGGGGAAGAGGAAAGCAGGGAAACCAAGAAATAAATAACTCCTTTGTGTCGCGACTGTATAAACAGTGCAGCACATTACAGATTACTATAGTAGCCCAACTGATAAGAAACTTCCTGAAACTGTTGATGCATGTATAAATGTGTGTATGCATGAGTGGAGTGAAATAAAATTACACATCATGAAAAAGATATAAAGAAAGATAAAGAGAAACAGAGAAAATAAAGAAGAACAACAGAGACAGAGCGTAAGGATTGAAAAACTACTCTGTGTGTCCCAGTTATTCAAAAACATCATCTGATAACATATTTCCTTGTTTGGATATTAAACATTTGCTGAGTTTCCACAATTTTTACACAAAGTGTCCAAAAGTGTTACTGAGCCAGCCAAAAGAGTATAATGTGATTGTTATCTATTGTAAATATTAGCACAATTCTGAGAACATTGTGCCTTCAACTTGACTCTATAAGGAACGTGACGAAACTTCACAACCTGAATGCAGCTGCCAAATAACGTCACAGGAAAAATGTAAACTAGGCTTACGAGACCAACGGACCCAATTCTTCACTTTGTCACTATCTTGACAGAATAAAATTCCAAATGCTCCACAATCTCGACAGTTGGTTGGCAGGCAAAAGGAGAAAATACAGAACAAAACTGAAACGAAAAGGTCTAGCATAAGTGTGTGTGTCCTATCTGAATGGAAATATATTCCAATAGCCCAGGAAAAAAGTTTACTCCAAATACCATTATCCTCTAAATGGCGGGGCCTGTGGGAGACTCTTGTCCAGGGAATCTTGGCTCTGTTTAAACGAGCCTTGAGGAACGTGCCGGAATGAGCAATTCAAGCCGTATTCACTCACTCTGGCATCAGAACCACCCGTAGTGTGTTGCATGGGATTACGCATGTACCTACTGCCAGAATCACTGCTGGCTAGGATTAGAAAATGTTGATTATAACAACGGTGGCAACAGCTGGAATTGACATTATGGGGTTCTTGATTGAGGGACATAATAATTCAACAGAGCCTCATTATGACCAATTTAAAGGGTTCAATAATTCAGCATTGGTGAACCAGTGGTGGTAAAGACACCTCAGAAAAAGACCATGTTGAGGCCGTTTTTATCCACATCCCTTTTTTTCTTTTCGCTTTCCTTTCAAAGGTCAATCCACCTCTCATAATCTTATTTAAAATCATCTTCATTCCTCTTGATTACATTTTGTACTTCCCTCATCTCCAATCCTCCCTAAGGAGTAAGCCCATATGCCAATTTCCACTGAATACCAACCATCCTTTCCAAATACATGCTTAATGAACTTGCAAGAATGTGAAATTCAACCACCATTATTTATCTAATTCCAGTTGGTATGATTGGGGGTTTAAAGACATTTATTAAAGCCATTGCACTTTTATGTTCAGGCAGCAGTCTTTCTTGAAAATGCTACGAAACAGACATTTTTATTTTTGGGGTTTAGCCAACCTGTAAAAACAGTTGGTCTAAACGGTGCATGATACCAAGTTAAGACCTAGCTGGAAGACAAACAGCCAGTCATCCTTTTTCATTTCTCAAGAGAGGTCCTCCTTATATATTAGAGCTGCTGGAATCAAGATAAAAGCAATACAGCCGAGCTGCCGCGAGATGCCAAGGGCTCACTCTACGCTGATGGCTTGGTTACCACGGCAACCGTACGAGGTGAGAGAGAGGACATACGTGCACAGAGTAAATTCAGGAATGCAGGTATAGACTGCCTCCTTTTATCTGTTTCTTCTTTCTCGTACCTTTACAATTATTTGTACCCCTAAATGAACATGTTGAATGGCTTGGCTTCTCATCTCATACCCTAGGTTTTATGAATCACATGCTTCCAAGTGCACCAATCTTTCCTGAAAGAGGACTCTGAGACAGATTTTCAGTTCGGTCAAAACGTTGACTTCAATACTCTTTTATATTGATGTATAAATCAGGCTGTTGCCAGGGGAGTAATCAGAGAGAGCTTAAGGGGAGTGTGTGAGAGAAAAGAGAGTGAATAAAGAGATGAGAGTACAGGGGAGACAGAGAATACTTGGTTTTGGCTGCATAAGTAGGACAATAGTGTTATGGCCAACACGGTGCGCCCCATGAGAATTATAAATGCCAGGTTTCCTTCAAAAAATAAAAAAGAGTAAAAGAGATTTTTTTAGAAGAAGAATGAGAGAGAAAGAAGGAATGATAAAAAAAACATATTTATGGTTTCTCTTACCTCCAAGAAACAGGTCCCAGCTGGCGTGTTCTCCTTTATGGAGGCATTGTAGAAGTTGCTGGAGAACACAGGTGTGTTATCGTTAACATCCTGGAGCACAATGTCCACCTTGGCTGTGGAAGACAATGGCGGGCGGCCTCCATCCATTGCTACCACAGTTACGCTAGGTGCTGGCTCTGATTCGAAATCTAGGGCTGTCGCTGTGGTAATGATCCCTGTGACCGGGTCAATGGAAAACCAATCAGAGTGAGAGTTTTTGCCCTTGAGGAGGCTATATCGTACGTCCCCATTGGGGCCCTGGTCCTTGTCCCTGGCAGTAACTTGGAGAACAAAGGAGCCAGGATAGACAACCTCAGGAATAGTCTGTCTGTAGGCCTGCTGGTCAAACAGAGGGGGGTTGTCATTCACATCAATCACCTGAATGGTGAAAGATGACTCTGCTCTGAGGGGAGGCGTGCCGGAGTCTGTGGCCATAACCCTCAGGTCATACGAATCCCGTTCCTCTCTGTCCAAGACCTGGTCAACATATATCAGGTAGATGATGCTGTCCTTGGTTGTGAGGGCAAACTTCCCATCACCCCCCTCAAGAGATACATTCACATTAGCGTACTCTCCATAGTCGGGGTCTGTGACAGAAATCCGAGCTACGTACTGGCCTGGTTGGGCCCCTTCAGAGATCCTTGGCGAGCCGTCCTCACTCAGAAAGATGATGGTCATGGTTGGCTGGTTGTCATTGAAGTCACGGACATGAATGGTCACAAACGCATTGGTAACCTGAGAAAATGCACATGATTCATGTTAGTGAGTACTGAAATTAATCTACTTTACATTATTGTAGAGGACAAATACGGTTAATTATTTTCTTTTTTCTTTTTTCTTTTAGGAATCTTAGGAATAACCATAATGCAATTACCTCAGGTTGGCTGGCGTTATCCCTGGCCTGGACCACCAGTTCATGAACCCTCTTCAGTTCATAATCCAGGGGCCTATTCAAAGTGATGACCCCTGACTTGATATCCATGACAAAGGAGCGATCAGGGTCACTCTGACGCCGGTTGATTTCATAAAGGACAAGACCATTATCACCTTCGTCCTCATCTGTTGCAAACACCTGGAAAGATAAGACACTGAAATTAGAAAATACCCTGAAACATTTGGATTTACGGGCGCAGGAACTGTTATTGAAGTAACAAATCACTGTCTAAACCCTGATAAGACTTGAGCTAACCTGTAGGATGCTGCTGCCTTGTGGGAGACTTTCAGAGATAATAGCATGGTATCTGCTCTGATTGAAGAGCGGCGCGTGATCGTTGATGTCCGTCACAGTGACGTCTAGGGTCATGGATCCCATCCTTTTTGGTGAGCCCCCATCGAAGGCCTCAACGACCAAGGTGTATAATGAGCGCTTCTCCCTGTCCAGAAGACCATTGACTACGAGATCCAAATACAACACCTTGTTAGCAGCTCTCTTGGTCTCCAGTCTAAAGGCTTGGCCTACATTACCCTCTCGTATAGCGTAGCCTTGAGTGGTCAGCTGGTCCTTATCTGCATCTGTTGCAGGCTCCAGGGAAAACCTTGTGCCAACTGCTGTGTGCTCAGGAATTTTAAGAACGACTTTCTTTTTGGGGAACACAGGTGCATGGTCGTTGATGTCGTTAACGGTGATCGACACCTCAATAGTGACTCCTGTCATTGTGACAGCGATAAAGCTATAGTGGTCTCTCTGCTCACGATCCAGACGTTGTGCCGTGGTAATGATGCCTGTGTTTTCATCGATGTTGAGATCATTGCTGACGCCTGTGCTCTCATGGTCCGAGATGAAGTAAAGACCTCCGATTTCACCAGGTGGTAACCCAGCGCTGATATCACCAACGATGGTCCCTGCCGGCTGCTCTTCATCCAGCTGGAGCTCCAGTGCTCCGAAGACAGTTGTAGACTGAACAAGAACAAGGACCATGCATAAATAAAAGACTTGCGTTCCTCGCCAGGAACACAAACAGCGTCCGCTGACCCAAACCCTCCGTCTTGACCCTTTACTGGTTATCGTCATGGCTGGGCTCTGCTACACCTGTAAGACGGAAACAAGAGAGAAAGAAAAAAACACATTAGAGAAAATATTAGAACCGATATATTTTATGATGTGTAAATTGAGAAAGCTACTTTCCTTATCCTCTATTTAAATACATTTTGAAAATGATCTTGCTCCCTTAGCACAAAATGAAAACAAATTGTTATTTTTGTGTAGTATGTATTTGTAATCCTTGAATAACAATGTGCTAACACTTAAATAATCCACAACCTATATAAAAGACACTGTGTGATGTATTTGAGCTTTTTTACAAATGAAAATGATATATATATATATGTATATAAATAAGAGTTTGGAAATAATTCTTCAGCAGGATTGGGAATATTTGAAAGAGCACATACATGGAAGGCTAAATCTGTCCCGGATCCACATTTGCTTGGACCACATTGAGGACAGAGTCATAAACTATATATGTATCTGAAGGATAACACATTTCATTCAATGGATGAAAACATTTTAAAGTGTCCAGAGTGGTCATAAACAAAGGGAAAACACATTAAAGACACTGAAATGGGCATCAAGATCCTTAGTAATATTTAGATTTGATGTTTGCATATCCTTAAACACACACACACACACACAAAAACACAGACATACTTAAAAAATACATGGAATGCATGGGAACTTAAGTATATGGCGGCTTCAGAAGAGCCTCTATGGTAAAAGCAGTCATTTAAGACTGTAAGCTTAGCCTCTATGTTCCCCAAACTCTAAATCTTGCACAAATCCATAAAGATAATCTCCTCCTCATGCTAATGCTATATCAATCTTATCAGTCATAGGCTGGTCCTAATCATGAACAGATACACATGCTGCAAGTATCCACAAAGGCATGCATCAATCTAGGGTCAAACTCTTTTGCAAGATGTTCTTTATGTTCCTGGTGTGTCAGAAGTGTGGATTTGCCTCATCAGTTGGCACATTGACTGCAAGAAAGGCATTCGCAAGAGTTTAAAGGGCTATCTAAAACTCACTTGACACTGTGAACATTATCCTGCAGCTAACCCACCATCTGGTAATTCCAGCAAGTTAAAACAAACACCAATAATTACTTGAAAATGGTATTTGACCCAGGTTTGACACACATACTTTAGCTCACTGTAATATAATTCTGGAAATACAAATGTAACCTGTATGGCCGCTCCCAACTCTCACGAAATAGAGGCTCATTTTACCCCTTGATGAGGTCTACAAATATTTACATTATGCTCAAAATGAGACCAATTGTTTATGCATGTTCCTCTCCCATTTACAAGGAAAGATTTATTGAGCGTGTAACTCTTGAAAACATCCTGCAATGTGGAGGACCATCAAGCCCTAACAAAACTCATTCATCACACTTGGAGTCCAGAGGGATGCTGCTTTAACAATCTTCAATACTGAAAACCTAAACCCTCTGGAATGTGAAAGATTAGCTCATGTTTGATGCACATGATCAACACTATGGATGTGTGATGCAGGCAAAGGGCCAGTAGCAGACAGGAGGTTAGTTATCAATGGAGGTTGTTGGCCTTTGCTGGCCAGCCACATTCAGCCAATCACTCCCCTAGTGCATGTACGGTCTGGACAGTTAACTTTAGGAATGTCTTTCACCTCTAGAGGGAAAGCCAGCCTGGTGTCGGCTGCAGTGTCTGACTGCACATACGTTGAGTTATAGCGTAGCACACTCATACACACAAAGGACCATAGACTTCCCTTCCTGCAGGTTGATGGAAAAAATCAGTGCTGCTCCAAAGAGATCAAGAGGATGTTTTCTAATAAAGCATCAGAGTAAGGTTGCACTCTGCAGTCAAAGAACATTCATTGAATTAGTTACTATATATTGTGACACACATACAAAAGCTGAAATATGTTCTCATCTTCCAGATACATGTAATTATTTCATTCAAGTATTCTCAAGTCTGTAGAGCAAAAACAACCATGTATGTTTGCACGAGTACCTCAAACATCATTATTCACATGCATTGGCAATATTGAGTGAAAACTATTTTGTTGTTAAGGTTCTAAATGTACAAGACTCCTGAAAGAATATTTAAATTCTTTATATATGAGCAGAATATAAAAGCAAATGAAAAACATTATTTTATATATTATTAATCTTCCTCCAATCATCCTTTCCATAAGTCCTCCTGACCCTGACCTTCTGCGGTAGTTTATGAGCCCTCCAAGGAGAAGGGATTAATAAAGTCTATAGCTCCACTGGGACAGAGAGAGGGACACTGAGGCTGGCCCCTCTGGTCGCTGACCTCTACATCTGGTCCAGACGGCTGCAGCGGACAGTTGCTGAACTCCTACGCAAAGAGGGAAGCTGAGCTGAGCCTGAGCACGTAACACCTCTCTTTTGTTGTTTTTTGCTGTGTGAGTAGTTGTGTGTGTTTGAGTCTATGTGACTGTCTTTCTGAAATAAGCACAGGATAAAAAGTAAATGAAAAAAGTTGAAAAAGGAAAAGTCTCAGAGATAATTAGGGGTGTAATGATGTTAAGAAAGACTTATTGCTGCCTTTGGAGACCCTGCTGTGACAAAATGAATACCCTTCCTACCTACAGTATCATATTGCAACCGTTGAGAACAACAGGGAGGACAAAGATTGTAGGAAAAAGTGGATTTGGACAAGTTACATTTTGACGAGTGATTATGGCTTTGTCTCGAATGCCTTATTGCCATTAGGGACCAACGATCTGATTAATAGAAAGTAAGAAAGGGTGTATTCAAAGGAGAGACATGTGTGTCTCTTTACATCTTCTTTCCCTCATTACTTCAGTTGAGCGTCAGTGAGAGGTTATATTGATGAACACATCGCACGGCTGCAATCTGTCATTAAGCAGTCGGTGCATGACATCATCTCCCTTTTTACGTGTGCTGTAATACTCTTGTGCTTACATTGGAAAACACTAACTGATGATGAATGGATAGAGCAATGCCTCAAATATAGTTTGTGCTGAAAGGAAACTGGCAGAAGAGAAGGGAAGTTGAAAAGACAGCCACCTGATTCACTCCCTCTAGTGGCACTCTTCATAACATTCTGCTTATAATGATAGATTATGTTAAAGTGTACATGAATGTGTGTATCTCTAACTTCATTTCAATAAAAAGTTATAAACTACAAATAAGTTTGAACCTGTATTGTCTGCTTGAATGGGGTTTTGTACATCCATGTTTTTGTACGGCTGCACAACACATGTGCAAGCGAGCAGTGACATCATCTCTGTGCGACCACATTGACAGGCAGGTCAGACCCGGAGGGCTCCATGCAGTCTCAGCCACATTATATCTGGCATTGCACCCCCATAATCTCCTTCTGCTGTGCGCAAGCCTCAAAGCCTCAAAGCCTCAAATGCACGGGCCTCCACTCCTAAGTGCTGTAACCATATAATAGAAAACCATAGTGTTTTTTCTATAGGATGTGACTATTTGAAAGAGTATGTGTACGAGGATGTGTGTGAATGTGTTAATTTTGTCGTATCTCAGTTGTGGGGAATAGCTTTTCCTCACGCAGTGCCAATTCTGAGCAGGCCCCTCTATCTCCGTATCCCTCCCATGTCTGTCCCTCCTCCTTCCCTCCGCCAGTCCCCTCTAATGGACTTAGCAGATATAGTAGGGCACGCTATAGCTACCCGTGGGCCAAGCTAAACAGGACCAAAAGTCACATAGTTCCAAGGAAGAAACGGCCACACAACCGCCTCTATCTCAACCATGTTTGTGTGCTTTGATGAAACAGCATTGCATTCAGCTAGTTCCTCAGCAGTTGAGAGGTCTGGCATTGGCTGTAGATAGCTGGCAGCCACTCATTTAGCCCTGCAACTGCTTCTGTGTAACCCAGAACAAACATTGGCAAAGTCTTATGATTGACAGTAAAGTCAGACAGGGGAAAGACGTAAAGAAAAAGGCTGAGAAATTCAAAAAAATACAGCCAGACAGTGGATTCAACTTTATCTTCACACATTGAAAACCCCAACAGCAAAAAGAATAAGGTTTAAAGAACAAATGTTCTCATATTGCAACAGCTTTCTTGCAAACCATTGCAAGCCTGTGCCCTATATGGTGTTAGGATTGGAGATGGTTGTAGTTTTAGTGCCATTTGATAGCGTAACAAAAAAAAAAGTTTTATGACAGTTCTCAGCAAGTGTACAATTACAGGGTGGCTAAAGCGACACCAACTCATTAAATGACTGAGAATAAAAGGTTAGGCCAGGCTGTGGTGAAGCAGGCTTTGTGAGAAGAGGGAGGGGGGGCTGCGAGGCTGGTGGGGGGTAAAGGATGGAGGAATGCTTAGCATCTCAGTTTTCATGTCGTTTGGGTTGTGTGTGTGTTTAGGGGGACGACAACTATGACCCCTGTCCCCCCCTTGAGTCGCCTTATCCCGGATCTCTGGATATAGACGTCCCTTTTGAAAACCAGCTGTCACTAGAACTATGACCATATGCATGTGTGTCTTGTGTGTGTGCGTTGGTATTTAAATCCCATTCAATTCACCTATAACTACGTTTCCTCAGTTCAACTTGTGCCTTTTCCTTCCTCCCAGAATTCATCCAGACTACACTAAAGTTGGATATCAGTTTCAATTTATTTCCATAGCTGACTCAAGCAAAATGAAATCTTAAAGTATCGTAACACCAGCCCCTCACTCAGCCAGACGTCCACTGTCTGGACACACTGAAATATATGTGCTGCACTAAAGCACAATCAATAATTCAATAATAATACTACTATGTGCCAAGAGAGTTCATGACTGTATCATACAATTGGATTACCTCACCCAGGGGATCCCTGCGGCCGTAAAGGCTCTCACAACTTGAGAAACCCAACCTATGTATCTGGTTTGTGGAGAAGGGTAGAATACAAGTAAGCACTTTTGAATTAATTATGATGAAGTGAGTTCCTTGGTTACGCTGGAGGTCAATTGGTTGATCTGATACAAAGTGAAAACTAACCCAGCCACAAATGAATACTGTAAAGGGGAACGTGAAAGAAATATTGG